ATTGTTCACAAGCATGTTAACACCCTCCATGGTATTCACTTCGCGAGGATTTTGGACTTGTTGCAACTGTGCCTTTGCTAGTTGGTTCATGGTCGTTGTCAACTCAGCTATTGCCTGCCCCTGATCATGTAATTCTTTGTGCAAATGAATGACCGTGGGGTCACCCTGGGGCACATTGGCTCTACTTTGCCAAGCGGAGGATGTGTCAGCCATCTCGTCAAGAATGGTACAAGCTTCATCATACGTCAGTTTCATGAAATTACCCCCAGCAAGATGATTCACTATGCATTGATTTGTTGTGTTGATGCCCCGGTAGAAAGTTTGTTGCAACATATTCTCCGTCATATCATTGTTGGGGCATTCCTTCATCATAGTTCTATATCTCTCCCAAATCTCGTACAATGTTTCGGTGGGCTCCCGCTTGAAGGCTAAGATCTCATCCCGTAGTGCTGCCATGTGCCCTGGTGAGAAAAATTTGGCAATGAACTTATCCGCCAACTCATCCCAAGTTGTGATGGAATGGTTGGGAAGTCGCTCAAGCCAATCCAATGCTTTTCCTCTAAGTGAGAATGGAAAAAGCCTCAATCGAAGTGCATCCTCGGACACATTGGTTTGCTTGCTCCCCCAACAGGTATCCACGAACCCCTTGAGATGTTTGTAAGCATTCTGAGTGGGAGCACCCGTGAAGTACCCGTGCTACTCCAAGAAGGTCAGCATCACGTTGGTTATTTGAAAGTTGCCCGCCCGGATCCGGGGCGGAACAATAGTACTCGCATAGCCTTGGTTGGGAAGAACTCTAGGAGCCACTCTTGGAGGTGGCAGAGGAGGGTCTGGAATATTTTCATTTGCATTGGCCTGGCGGCCTCTACATTGTCCTTGAGGTACAAGAGGCACCTCTTCATCTCCATTGTCTTCAACCTCCTCCCCCGCAATCACGTTTCCAAGAGGGTCATTAGCATTTAATGCCATTTTTTACCTGAAGTAGTGACACACACCAATTAGTAACAAAGAAAGAAAGAAGAACAAAACACAAATCTATTTAGATAGATAGCCAAAACCGTTAACTCCCCGGCAACGACGCCAAAAAGTGGTCGAGGCCTACCCTGCACTACTATTGAGTAGCAAGAGAGGGTCGAAGCAGCTTTTACCCGATTTAGGGTCGGGAACGATTTCCACAGAGAGCTAGAAGTTGGAGTCGGGTATCTATCTAATTTAGAGTCGTGTATGTGTTCCAAATTGCACTTCTACACATTTTTGGATTTTAATTATGATTCTAATTTTATAAACTACAATGCTCAATTAAACTACTATAAGCTAGGATTAAAATATTACGGGTTGTTCAAACGGTTAAAAGGCACTAGGGTAGTGACTTTTGCCTAGGTGGTCAATTAACGGATACTTGAGTTTAAGGCATGATTAACACATTTGGGGAGTATGATATAACCATTGCTCAATTCTACTCACTCTATACCTCTCGGTAGTTCGAGTGATTTTGTCCGAATTGACTTTCTCAAGACAATTGGGTATGAAAATTTGCACAAGCAATTGAGGATCAAGTCGGGTATTACGATCTCTCGGTTTAACTCTTTAATTGGGGCTATCAATTCTCTTGAGTGCGCCCCAATTCCTTGTTGGACTAATTGTAGAGACTTAGACTCTCTTTTTCAAGAAGAGCAAAAGTCAACTAAACACAAACTAGTGTTTGCAACCACTAATTTATCAATTAAATATGGAATTAGCCCAAATATCAAACACCCATAGTCAATCAAGCCCTAAAACACAAGACCCATCAATTACCCACACTAGGGTTGAGCCACAACCCTAGCTTATGGGTCTAGCTACTTATAATTAGAGAAGAAAATAAAGAAATAGATGAAGAACAACTCATATTAATTAATTGCTAAGATAAACTAGAAGATTCAATGTTGAAATGAAGATAAAATTTCCCAAAATAGCTAAAGAAACAGAAGTCACGAGCGCAACTCAATACAAAATCTATCTGCTTATCCTAAAAATGGAAAAGAAGCTATTTATACTAAGCTGAAAAATCTGGACAAAAATACCCCTGCGGGGTTAGTGCGGACCACACAAAATCACGTGCGGCCGCACTAGGGCTCTTGACATAAAATTCCAGCTCTCTGAACTCAGGCAATGCGGACCGCACAGAATCGAGTGCGGCCGCGGTGGCTTCTAGTGCGGTCCACATGAAATGGAGCGCGGACCGATTGGCTTCAATCTCTAAAACTGGCACCTCTCTGATCTTTGGTTTTGCGGACCGCACTAAATCGAGTGCGGCCACAGTGACTCCAATGCGGACCGCATTAAATCTCATGCGGCCGCATTGCCTGTTGGCCTGGAAATCACCTTCTCTGAATCTCACTTGTGCGGACCGCACAGAATGGTGTGCGGCCGCATTGGACCTGTTTTGCCTGAGCTTTGTTTTGTCTTGGTACTTGTGCAAGTTTCACTCCTTTTTTGAGCTGAACTTTGACATCTTGTCACTTTGATAATCAAACCTGCAATCAAGCATAACTTGTGAGCCTTTTGAGACTATTTTGTACCAATTTCTAATCAAAACATAAGTAAGAAGGAGTATAAAATGCACCAAAATCCCTAGTTATCAACCAACACTGGTTGGACAATATTGCAATCCTCCCTCTTACATTACCAAATGAAATCTACACATATAAAGAACTATTTTCCTTTGTTTTTGACATATTTGGATCACTAGAAATAACAACCTCTACAATAACCTCACAAACTCTACGTCTTTTGATCTGGTACATATGCGAGCCATAGGGTATATTGCTCTAGCAAGAAATGACAGTAACACCGAACCACCTATAGATTTCCACCTCAAATGGCATCCTCGTAAACTAAATCACTTCAAACTCAATACTGATGGAGCATTTAAAGATGGAGCAGGAGGTACCGCTGCTCTATTTTTTGGCTTTTTCTTTTTCTTTATATGTTAAATTAGGCAAATAACCAAAACATTGGAATAAATATTCGTAACAAAGTATTATACTAAACATTTCCTTACTGATGAAACCTATTGTTGCAACTGACTTATAGTTTGATGGAACTGATTTGAAGTTTGAGCTTTTAATTAGTTGGCACTTGTCATAAGTTATATTTATGCAAAAATCATAACAAGAGTTTCACTGCTCACTATTAAAACAAAAAGAGCAGCTCGGTCCACAAAGTATTTGAAGGGAATATTGAATAAAAATCTTATTCCCCAAACTAAGAGATAATACTACACACTTATTAGTAAAAGATGGGAAGGGGATAAAGATGATTCTTGCTTTAGAAAATTACTTATGTGAAATTTCATCCACATTAAACGATGAAGGTTATTTATTTTATAGCATTTAATTCTTTTTGCCAAAAACAAAAGAAGTAAAATCTGATTACCACAATCTCATTAGAATAATACCAACATAAATGTGAATACTATATTCTATAAGAACAGTTCATCATAACACATAAAAGATTAAAAAAAAAAAAGATGAATTCCATAAGAACTTCAATAGTGATATTATTTATCTTTCTCTCTTTAGTGGCTCATTCCTCTGGAGATTGATAGAAGATGTTTGCAAAAAGTCTACAGACTACAAATTATGCGTCAATTCTCTTAGAGCGGATCCTAGAAGTTCTTCTGCTGATAAGAAAGATTTGGTGCGTATCATGCTTCAATTGTCTTTAGGCAAGGCTAAGGATATTTATAATCAAACTCTAATTATGTTAAAGCAACCAATGGAGCCCATTCTCAAGCAATGCCTTCAGATTTGTCGGGATAATTATGATCTACCCGTATCACAAATTACAAATTCGATTAAAGATTTAGACGAGAACTTTTATATGGTGAATAGTGAGATAAGTAGTGCCATTACTTGTTCCGTCACTTGTGAAGAGTCTTTCACTGAACGGCCAGTTCGCAAGGACCCATTAAAAGCGGGGAGTGATGATTTTTTGCATTTTGCTGCAACAACATTGAGTTTGATAGACATTTTCAAATAAATGTAAACTGGCTATCTTTAGCGCCGCCCTATAAAATAATGAATTAGAAAAGTAAAGCAAGTTCTTCTTTTTTTAGATGTTATTATTGTTTAGTGGTTTTCAAAGGTTTCGGCCCGATGGTTTACGTGAAGATATCATTATATGTGATGTATTCCAAATTGTAGCCATTAATAGCCCAATCTTGTTTGCAAATAATGAATTATTATTTGTGTAACTGTATTAAGCAAATGCCGAAGCATCTTTGCACTATCATTGTCAACTTTAATTGTTTCAATTGATAATTGTATTCTGTTAGTGTTAAGACATAGAATTTGTACTTTTGTTATATTAGCACCAAATTAATGATATTTGATAATATGTTTGAAGCTTATGCTTTGCTCATAAATTGTCACAACAATTAAGTTTTCCAAGGGTTGCACACCAAATTTTGTAGTTCGTAATTGGCATGTCTATGTTAAACCCTTAAGAATGAAGAAATTCCTAGTAAGGAGCGTTTCCCGTTAATGATCCCTATACCGTGCTAATCGGAATTAGTCAGTCCTGTGGATACTGAATATCAAATGATTAAAACAAAAATATGTTTATATTAAAAATAGTTGTGCCCCGTTACCTTCAAATCATAGGTCCGCCTCTGCTGCTACCTCATCAGAGATTTAAAATTAAGATTGTAGGTGCCTGATATATATATTTTCAGTTCATGTGTTACAAAGACACTATTCCAATCGCAAAGGAAAATAACAAATGTCTTTAAAAAGTTCCAATTAGTAAGAAAAAGAAAGGAAATTAAAATCACAAAGACAATGGGGAGACACAAATTCTACAATCAGTGTCATTTTATGTGGTGAGAACGATATGAAAACCTTAACATTTTACTACTTATTTTGCTGAGAGAAAAAATTGCAAGCCCTATTGGTACTACTAACAAATATTATACTGCTATAACTAGCAGAAATCGTGGATTACAGTATCATTTGCATTCATAGGAAACCTGAGTAATGTGGGACTGTGGAGGGTATCCATTTATCACCCTGGATAAAATTCCTGACAGTGAAACTTGATGCGTCATTAGGATCATTAGTGACACGCGCCCACGTCACACGTCCCGTTATGTTTGCACCAGGTCCTCTATTTTTGAATTCCATATAGAATGGGCGAACTAGGGGCTCTCCCTGAAACTCTATCCAGCCTTTTGGATTTATCAATTGGTCTATGTAACTCCGCATGATCACAGTACTTGAAAAGTTACCCCATAGTCTCCCTAAATGCATAGTTACATTACCCGCATCCAGAGTTGCTAATTTTAACGTGCAATTTTGCAACACGAGTCCTGATGCTTCTTTCTCACCATTTTTCTGTTGTTCCATTATGGTGTCACGATCCGAATTTTCCACCTTCGGGAATCGTGATGGCGCCTACTCGTGAAAGCTAGGGAAGCCGACACATTCACATATTATTATCTTTTTACATTATCCATAAGCAGTTACGAGTTAACAAATAAATGACAGCGAAATAATAATAATAAAAGCAATGCGGAAGACGAAATCTGATAATTTAACTTAATACAAATTGCGGAAGTCTAAATATAGCTCTACCCAGAATTTGGTGTTACAATGTCACGGACAATCTACGAATACTACAAATAAGGTCTGAATAGAAATACACGAGTTTGTCTGTGAATAAGTAAAAATAGAAAGGCAATGATAGAAGGGGACGCCAAGGCCTGCGGACGCCTGCAGGACTACCTCGGGTCTCCGATGGACTGAAGGCAGCAACTCCTAGCTAAGGTCCGTATGCTCCAGTACCGGGATCTGCACAAAAGAGTGAAGAGTGTAGTATCAACACAACCGACCCCATGTGCTGGTAAGTGTCGAGCCTAACCTCGGTGAAGTAGTGACGAGGCTAGGACAAGACTACCAAATAAACCTGTGCAGTTATATCGTATACAGCAAGTAATAACAGCAGAACTAACAGTTAAAGTTGGGAAGGGGGAACATGCTGCGGGGGGATAACAAATACTAACAGAATTTCAGCAAAGAAGCATAAAGAACACCAAAAATTCAACTATAGGCAAGAATAAGGAGAACAATACAAGTGCACGACATCACCCGTCGTTCTTTTACCTCACATAATCATGGCACGAAATTATCCTTCGTGCATTATCACTCATATCAAGGCACGACATTGTACATCGTGCGGCACGACATGTCATGACCCATTTCCATTATAGGTCATGATGGCGCCCAACGCCATTGTCGGGCAAGCCATCGCGGAAATATAAACAAGTTCTCATTTTACTTTTACCAACATAATTACAGTAATTCCTTAAGTTAAAGTTAAAACAAGTGATAACCGGTGAGGTACCAAAAATAATTATACAATTCCCTAAAGAATAGTCTACTAACGTGTGTGCCAAGACCTGGTGTCACAAGTTGTGGGCAACTAGTAGAATATACAAAAGAATAAATCCATCCTATTGTCCAAAATAGAATAGACAGCAAAAATAAATACAGAGAGACTCCATCAAGCTGCTGAACGGCACAGGAAGGGGCAGCTCACCGTAGAAGTCTCGAAATATGCTCAAGGATGCGCACCAAACTGATAGCCAGATGTACCCGCCTTAGATCCTGTACAATTAAGTACAGAAGTGTAGTATGAGTACATAAACAACATGTACCCAGTAAGTATCCTGCCTAATCTCGAAGAAGTAGAGACGAGAAGTTGACTTGACACATACTAGAGTTGAATAATATGAGAGATGAATTATACTGAGCATGGATAAAACAAATAATTAGCAGTGTACAACAAGAACAAACAGGTCATCTCCTAGAAAATGTCACAGCTGGCAACTTCCATTCCAGAACAAATAATAAAACTCAATTCATAGAAAAATACTGAGTAAAACATGCGCAAGTAGTGCCCAGGTCGAACGGCCCGATCCAACATAAAAGTAAATTGTGCACTACCGAGGGTCGAACGGCACGAACCATAGATGCATCTATTACCCCGCTCGCGAATCAACCATGCGACGCGGTCAAATATAATTAAACACAGCAACAAGCAGACGAGAACATATAATTGGGGAGCAATTACTCACTAAATTATCAACTTCTCTTTGAAAAAGGCCAACTAAGAAAATGTTCCTCTTAACTAGTCTCACTTATCATAATCTCTATGATTTAAACAATCCAAATTAAACATAGAGTTGCAAGAGTATCACATGAAGTATGCTTTTGGGTCCTAAAATACCCGGACTTGGCATAATAGTAGCTACGCACGGACTCTCGTCACCTAGTGCGTACGTAGCCCCCGCATTTAATGGCAAATTATTAGATTACATCACCTATGGGGACAATTCCCTCTTACAAGGTTAGATAGGAGACTCACCTCGCTCCAAAGTGCACTTCCAATACCAAGAACGAGCCCGAACTCTCAATTTGGAGCCGAGCGGTCCACAACTAGTTAAATGGGGTAGGAATTAGTCAATACAAGCTCACAAGATCACATTCTAACTATTAAAGCAATTTCCCAACCTAAGATACAAGTTTCCTAAAATCCGACCCCGAGCCCACGTGCCCGGATTTCGAAGTTTTTTGAAGAAAGTTGTTCTTCATAACCCAAGGATCAATAATATATGATTTCTAATTCATTTCATAACAAATTTTATAGTCAAATCTAACTTTTGTCAAAACCCTAGGTTTTGCTCTAACCCCATGATTTTACCTTAATCTTTGTGTGTTAATCTACCCAAGACTCGAGTACTAAATTAGAAACAGATAGGATAAACTTACTTCAAGATGCTAGGTGAAGGTACTCTCTCAAGAGCTCCAAAATCGCCCAATGGATGAGTGAAAAATGGCCAAAATGACTTAGAGCCCGCAATAAATGCAGCTCACCGCTTTAGTGATTTCCGCATCTGCGGTGAAGGGACCACATCTGCGGTGCCGCTTCTGCGAGGAAGAGGCCGCATCTGCTGAATTGGCCAAGCGGGCTGGGACCGCTTCTGCGGTCTTGAAGCCGCTTCTGCGCAGCCGCTTCTGCGGCTTAGGAGCCGTTTCTACAGTTTTTGGCCTGGACTGCCTTGGCCGCATCTGCGAGAGGACGACCGCTTCTACGGTCTCGCACCTGCGGCTGACTAACCGCAGGTGCGGTTATGACAGAAACTAGATGCTTCAGCTCTTCTAAACTTTTCCAACTTCACTCGAGCCTCGTCTGATTGACGCTCGGGGCTCCCGGGCCCCGCCCGAACATACCGACAAGTCTGAAATCATGAAACGGACCCGCTCGAACCTTCAGAACACCCTAAACAACACTAAATCTACGAATCACCCCCTAAAACCAATTGAGTCAAACTTATGAACTTCAAGTTCTTAAATTCACTTCTAACGTGCCGAAGCGTACTTATACTACTCAGATTGACACCAAATTTTGCGGGCATGTCTTAAATGTTATATTGGACCTGTACTGGGCTGCGGAACCAACCTACGAGCCCGATACGAACGTGATCAATCATTATTTAGTTTCTTTAAATCCTTAGAATTTTAGTTTAACAATTTCTAATAAAAATTCATTACTTGGGCTAGGGACCTCGGAATTCGATTCCGGACATACGCCCAGGTCCATATTCTCCTACGGACCCTTCGGAACCGGCAAAACACAAATCCGGATCCGTTTTCTAAAAATATTGACCAAAGTCAAACTTAGCCTTTTAAGAAAATCTTAAGGAGTCAAATGAGCATATTTCAACCCAAATTCTTCCAAATCCCGAACCAACCGTCCCCGCAGGTCGTAAATTAGTTAAGGCAAGCGCGGGAAGTTTTATTTACGGGGACGGGGTTCTAAAAAGAAAAACAACCAGTCGGGCCGTTACACGACATCACCCTTCGTGCTTTAATAATCACAATATCGGCACAACATCACCCTTCGTGCATTAACACTTACTCACAAATATAACGCACGGCATCACCCTTCGTCTAAATTTTATTTTACACAGGCACAGATATTGCATTTGCGATGTCATGTTCGCAAATGCGAACTCGCAATTGCGGCTCAGGCTTCGCAATTGCGAAGCTAGGCCTGCCCTGCTTTCTTTGCGAATGCGAACAGCTGTTCGCAATTGCGGTACCTGCTATGGTTGCATTTGCGACATTCAGCCTCGCAAATGCGAATGTCACCCCCCTAGCCAGTCATCGCAAATGCGATGACTAGTCGTAAATGCGAGCTCGCATTTGCGAGTCAGGCTTCGCAAATCCGAAGCCTGCAGACCTGCAATGCATCAATTGCTGCTCCTAAATTCAAATTTCACTCCGTGACCTATCCAAGACTCACCCGAGCCCTCGAGGCTCCAAACCAAACATGCATACTAACTTAAAAACATCATATGGACTTACTCGTGCGATCAAATCGCCAAATTAACATCTTTAACAACGAATTTAGCATCAAAATCTAAGAAAAATCTCAAGAACTCTTAAGTTCAATTTTTAACATCTGAGGGTCCGATTCACGTCATATCAAGTCCGTTTCTTACCAAATTTTACAGGCTTAACTTAATTACATATAAGAACTATACTGGGCTCCGGAACCAAAAGACGGGCCCGATACTATCAAATTCAAACATATTTAAATTTCCAAGAACTCTTATAATTTTAGTTAAACAATTTTCTTCAAATATTTATTTCTCGGGCTTGGGACTTCGAAATTCAATTCCGGGCATACGCCCAAATCCCATATTTTCCTACGGACCTCCGGGATCGTCAAATCACGGGTCCGGGTCCGTTTACCCAAAATATTGACCGAAGTCAACTTAAATTCAATTTAGAGGCCAAATTAGTATTTTTGTCAGATTTTCACATAATAGCGTTCCGAATATACGCCCGGACTGCGCATGCAAATAGAGGTGAGATAAAAGGAGGCTTTTAAGGCCTCGGAACACAGTATTCACTTTCAAAAAGAGTGATGACCCACCTTTTGGGTCATCAAATTCTCCACCTCTAAAACAACCGTTCGTCCTCTAACGGACATAAGAAAAGTACTTGAGTTGGAGAAAAGATAGGGATATCGGCTCCGCATATCGGACTCGGACTCCCAGGTCGTTGCCTCAACAGGCTGACCTCTCCACTGAACACAAACAGAAGGGAAACTCTTCGATCTCAATTGACGAACCTGCCGGTCTAGAATAGCTACCGGCTCCTCCTCATAGGACAAGTCCTTGTCCAACTGGACAGTGCTGAAGTCTAACACGTGGGATGGATCGCCGTGATACTTCCGAAGCATGGACACATGAAACATTGGATGCACGGATGATAAACTTGGCGGCAACGTAAGTCTGTAAGCTACCTCTCCCACTCGATCAAGAATCTCAAAAGGA